AGCCGCTCTTAGCAACAAACGATATATGTTCATCCCTATTTTTATTGGCTGGAGGCTTATAAGCGAATTCGGAATAACCCTCATTCATTTTCTTGGTTCATTATAGTTATTCCTAATAGTCCAATCGATGCTCAATGGTCACAATATGGAAAAACCGTTGCTGGAGGGAATGGAGAAGGCAATGCCACAAATCAACTCAACGAGCCTTACGGTCTCTTCGTTGATGATAATCAAACGATGATCATTGCTGATCTCGAGAATCATCGTATCGTCCAATGGAAGATGGGTGATACGAATGGACAAGTTATAGCTGGTGGCAATGGGAAAGGAAATCGAATGGATCAGTTGAATTATCCAACCGATGTGCTAATCGACAAAGAGACTGATAGTCTCATTATTTGCGATGCAGAGAATAGACGAGTCGTACGATGGTCTCGTCGTAGTGGTACAACTCAAGGAGAAATCCTCATCGACAACATCGATTGTTGGGGATTATTCATGGATGATCAGAGATATCTCTACGTCTCTGACTGGAAAAAACATGAAGTAAGACGATATCACATAGGAGACCAGAATGGAATTATCATGGCTGGTGGAAATGGCAAAGGTGCTGGTTTCAATCAACTCAACTTGTCGCCCGACATCTTCGTCGATCAACAACAGACTGTCTACGTGTCAGACAACAACAATCATCGTGTGATGAAATGGAATAAAGATGCAAAAGAAGGAATTGTCGTCGCCGGAGGTCAAGATCAAGGGGAAGCTCCGACACAATTGTCACATCCTAACGGACTAGTCGTCGATACATTGGGTACCATCTATGTGACAGAAGTAGGGAACGATCGAGTGATGCGTTGGCCTAACGGAGCAAAACAGGGTACTGTCATTGTGGGTGGAAATGGCCGAGGAGCAGGAGCAAATCAGTTCAATGGTCCTGTTGGTTTGTCCTTCGATCGACAAGGCAATCTCTATGTCGTCGATTTCAGAAATAATCGTGTTCAATTTTTTTCAATTCAATAAAATACATTTTAATCGAAAAAAATATTTTTTTAATTTCTATTCGCGCGCGCGCGACCAGGAACCATCCTGGTGGCGCTGTGGCGAGCGTAAAGCTTGTACACGCGCGGGAAAACTCACATCATCCACATGCACCCATCCGGTGACATATGTCAGTGAGCCTGGGGCCCGACCGTGTTGCCACAGACACCAAGACAGTTCCTGGCCGGTGTTTAAGGTCTATTCGGAAGACCTGATATAGTACGAGACCTCAACTCAAACTCAATAAGAAGAGAAAAAAAAATAATCACTCACCCTTTCTTGACGACGTTGATGGCTGTAACGAGAAAAAAAAGAAAATTAATACATATAGAAAGAGAAATAGTGAAAAAAGAATACATACATTTTATTTTATTGTTTTCATATTGACTTGATTTAATTTTGAGTTGTTGAGACCAATACCTAAAATATAAAAAGATCAATCGAAGTCTTACTACCTTCGAAATGATCTTTAAGAAAAAAAGCAAAAAAGAAAAATTGAAAACTAATACCTACATTTTTAGTTTTGATTGTATTGTATTGTATTGATACTGAATTGATTAATTTTGAGTCTTTGAAAGTAACCTAAAATACACAAGAAAAAAGGTTAGAATATGATTCAAATAATTGAATGATTTTTAGTTGAAAATCATTCATTTTTATATGCATTTCAATACATTTTTTCTCTCGTTCAA